AAAACAAAGGGCTAATCTCTCCAGACCTGACAGCCATGCAACTTTAAAGTTGTGCTCCAGAGTTACTTTCTCAAACTTGTTCAAGTTCTGAGAGTGCAGCGCAACGTGGATAACGTAATTTGCCCCCTCTCTGGTTACAGAAGAGAACGGCAAAGCATCTGCCGACACCAGCACTTGGTTTCTGCAAGGCTACACCTCGCTGTCTCCATCATTCACACACATAGACCCCCCCCTTTTTTTTTTACATTAAACTAAGGCAGCGGCATCAGGCCAAAACAGGGCTCTCTACCCTCACCCCTCCTCTCCAGCTGAGCAAGCTCGGCACACGGCTGGAGGCCCTGACAGCAGATCTTTGAAACAACCAGACCATCCCTTGATTTACTGACCAAGATCCACACCTACTCCCACCTTGGGGTGTCTGATATTGTAATTTGATGGAATCTAGAGGGGAGACTTCCCTGAAGGTTGGGCTCATAGCAATCACATCTAGGGTAGGCTAAGTATTTCTGAAAGGGAGGGGGAAAGTTAACTGTAAATAAATCAACGTTACTCAGGCGGCCTGTCAGTTGCTTTCACTAAAGATGCAGAAATGTACAACCCACAGCTTTAAATCAGGGCTCTCATCACCTGAGCTCCTAGAAATGTGGTAAACACTAAATTTCCCTAAAAAGGATTAAGAGTTAAAGGAAAAAATTAAGAATATATTTTCCAGTTGCATATCCAGATCTATGCTTTTTATACTTAACATTCTTTCCCAAATTAGAATCCAGCACTTTGATAATTTTGTCCTAAATTAAAATGCACCTATTTCAAACCTATAAAATTTCATATACTCTTTTCTCCTAGTCTATATTCTTATGAAAGACAGAGAGACCAAAATCCCAACCATTTATTCTTATACACTTTTCTTAGAGCTTTAGCTCAAAGTACAGAATAAAGTCCTACTGTTTCCACATTTTCTGGCTGCGCCATGACCATCCCACCTGTATGAATTCTCCTACAGAGGAACAGATGTGATATTCTTTGTCTCAAGCTTGTACCATATACTCACAAGAGTGGAAATGTTTCAGCCCAGAGGAGGCTTAATGGCTCCCATAAAACTCTGTAAGCAACTCAAGGTACTCTGCAGGTAGAAGACCTGGGTTCTTGCTTGTTTACACAACTTGCCCATTATATGACCTTGGATGAGTCATCAGGCTCTGTGAACCTCATTGTGTCTGCTTTAGAGATGAGCAAGAATCTATCACTTTCCCCACCTTCCCAACAGGGTGAAGGTCAAATAAAATAATGGCTGTCACAACAGCATGTGAGTGAGCCTTGGATGGCTCAAGCCCTGGGGTCCCGATCTTCCTTCCTCCCTCCCTCCTTCCTTCATGTATCAAGGGCTTCCTGTCTGAATTAAACTGTCCTAGGTATTATGAGGAATACCAAGATAACTCAGAAATTCCCTTAAGAAGCTTAAAACTTTACAGGACATTATACTTCTATGCATGTGAAGTGATAGGAAAGAAACAGATAATATGCTTTAAGAGTTACAAGAAGGAAAGATTACTTTGTGCTTAGTTAGGGGTATAGGAAAACCTCATGGAGGAAGGGGTATATAAGCAGGCCCCTGATATCCAGATAAAATGTGGATGACCAGAGACAATGGTGAAGAGAGGCATCTCAGTGAAAGGACTAACAGTCACAAGGGCACAGGGAAGGAAAAGCATGGAGCAAACACAGAAAGGACAAAGTTGTGCTGCCAGAGATCTAGCACTCCCTGAAAGGCAACAGAAGGAAATAAAGCTAGAAAGGCAGCCTGGAGCTGGACTGTGGAAGGCCCTGCAGTCAGACTGCGTTTGGATGCCAACACCGCCCTTGCCCACGACGCCCGTGCACCCACACTCCATATCTGGATAAATGACACCATGTTCCTCGCTCTTCCTGAACTCCCCCCCACCAGCTAGTCAGTGATCCCTAATATCACTCACATTTGTCCTGCATTAAATCTCACCTGGGCTCCTGAAACAGCCTCCTGCCTCTAGGCTCAACCTCCTACAACGGATCCATCCTCCACGTTGATGTCAGACTGACCTGAAACGCAATCTCACCACATGATTCCTGTGTAAATACTTCAGTGATCTCCCATCACCCACAGATAACATTCCAGAACCTTCCATAAGATGCCAGGTGTGGGCTTCCCTGGTGGCACAGTGGTTTAAAGAATCCGCCTGCCAATGCAGGGGACGCGGGTTGGAGCCCTGGTCCGGGAAGATCCCACATGCCGCAGAGCAACTAAGCCCGCACGTCACAACTAATAAGCCTGCGCTCTAGAGCTCACGAGCCACAACTACTGAGCCTGCGTGACACAACTACTGAAGCCCGCACACCTACAGCCCGTGCTCCGCAACAAGAGAAGCCACCTCAATGAGAAGCCCACGCACCACGACAGAGTAGCACCCGCTCGCCACAACTAGAGAAAGCCCGCGTGCAGCAACGAAGACCCAACGCAGCCAAAAAAAAAAAAAAAAAAAAAAAAAGATACCAGGTGTTTGGTGTCCTGGGCCCTCTGCAGGCTCCACCTTCTGCTTCTCCCTCACAAGCCCCCTTCACTCCTGCCACACTGACCCCCTTGAAGTTCCTGAAACCGCCACATGCTCTCTTGTCCCTCTGACTCTGAATTTGCCGGTCTTTCTGGATGGAACCTAACTTCCCCCCTTTCCCTGACTAGAAACACCTGCCCTTCTCCTTTTAACACTCAGATCATCATTTACCATTGTTCTGGAACTACTAGCCAAGGTAATTAGATCAAAGATAATAAAAGGTTCAAATATTGAAAAAAGGAAGCAAAATTAGCATTTGTAAATATGATTGCATATCTAGAAGACACAAGAGAATCAACGTTTAAAAAGTGAAACAATTACAGAATTCAGTAAAAGAATATTTCAAAATTTATGTTCAAAAGCCAGTAATATGTCTTCACACAAAAGTTAGAAACTACAATGTCAGAGAGTACATATTCCTTTATCAGAGTATAAGAAAGATAAAATACCTAAGAAAAAAATTTTCAGGACTTGTGAAGGACCTATATAAAGAAAACTTTAAAATTCTACCAGAAAGACAAATCTTGCTTCCAGATAGCAAGATCTACTGCAATGCAAATCCCCAAGGCATGGATTTTCCTCTGCTTTGTTGACTGACATATTTCAAGTACCAAGAACACTGCCTGGAACATATCAGGCACTCAGTAAGTACCCACTGAATGAATAAATGCCTAAAACTATCTAAAAATTCAATGTGACCAATCAAAATACAAATAGGATTTATATTTGTATTCTGGGAGAAACTGACAGAGACGTCAACCTCCACTTGAGCAAAAATTCAAGTACTCAGGGTTACTGAAGGCATGGAGAACCAGAATAACCAAAATGCTTCGGGTGGAACTATAAACTGGTACAGTCTTTTGAAAGGGCCATTTGTTAATATCTATCAACATTCAAAATGTGTTTATTCTTTCAGCAATTTCTCAGCTGGAATTAATTCTGTAGATACACTCATACATATGTGCAAACACATATGAAAGGATGTCCCTTGTATTACTGTTAGAAAATAGATTTGCATGTAAGATACACCTGAACAATGGAATAGTATACGGCCATCCTTAAACCTGAAGGATACCTATACAGAATGAAATGGAAGTAAGCCCATGATCTATTAGTAAAGTAAAAGAGGCAAGGCACAGAATACTATGGATAGTATGATCCCATTTGTGTTCTAAGATTATATGGTTATAGGTTTATATAGGAATAGAAACCTTCTGGAAGGTTACCTTTGGCAACAGATTCAAGGGAAGACACAGACAGAAGGAAACTTTACCTCAAGCAAGACAGAAAGGTGTCTGCTGTTGTTCTGCTTGACTTTACCGTTTTACTTCCTCTCAGGCACCCTCGCTTCAGGAAGTGTCCTGCCCACCCCCATCCAGGAGCGCTGCCTGCCCCGCCCCATACACTAGGGTGTACAGGACTACTCATACAATACCCTTCCTCGCTGGCTTCCCAAGTTAGTGGAGAGTTCCTTTGAGGGCAGGGCCTGCTTTCCTTTTCTGCTTTCTCAGCACATGGCAGAGTGCCTGGCACATAGGAACCACTTAATAAAGGCGGGAGGAAGGAAGGCAGAAAGGAAGGAAGGAGGGAAGGAGGGCCCTACATGAAGATTAACCAGGTGGCAGCACACAGGACTATCTAGGGAAGGTAGAGTCAGGAGACAAGGACGGCCGGCCGGAAAGAGAGCGATTCAGTCTGACATGGAGATGACCCTAGTGCTCTCAGGTGGAGGCCTCGGAGTCTGTGAGCCAGACGGCAGGGATTCTCCAGCTTCAGGCACTTTCAGTGAGAAAGAAGCTGTGGCCGCTGACACACTCCCTGCAAGGCCACAAGTGCCTCGTGACCTCTGCAAGCAAGGACGAAGCCCTGTGAGCAGCTTCTGACCACACCATCTCGCTGCTGGGAATACCCAGGGGCCTCAGCCAAAGTCCTGAGCAATCCCTAATGCCTCTCAATCACTTTTGCTGAGGATGTTCCTCACAAGGGGTCTGGATGTTAACTGACATAATCCATGGAAAGCACTTAGCATAAAGCACAAGGGGAAGTGCTCAAAATATAAGCTGTTATTAAGTTGCTTACAGAATCCTTTCAAGAGTTCAAAGCATCACAACTGCAAAAGTCATCAGAAGTCTTCCATTTCCAACAAGACCCAGGCCTCCCCATTTATTTCTGTAATAAATAAACATACTGTCTTCCTAAGCACAGTTAAAAGAAACTGGAAGCGGCTGCTTCGGTATTTCTTACTTTTGTCATCATTTCAAAATTAAGCTGGTCCTATCGGCCCCAAGTCTGATAGCAAACTCTCATCTTAGAAAGCTCAAATTTAAATAACCTTTACAAATTCAGTACATTTTCCATCATCCCATCCTGATAGCTGGCCCAGGCCTGATGTGGCTCGCCCCGGAATTCATTTACCACGGAGGGAGGGTCATTCCAGTCTTCATAGGAGATGGCAGCATATGGATAGATCCGGTCATTGATGATCTGCAGGGTGGCCAGGGCAATGGCTTTGATTGACTGGAAGTACGCTTCCCAGAACCACCGTGCCTGTGAAGAAAACCACACTGTGTGAAGTGAGCAGAGAGAGTGAAGAACTAGATGCTCCGTCACAGCCACCTCGAGGGCTGGGTAATTGCCTTACTCCCGAAGAAGAGGGAGACCAAGGCAAAGGCTCCCTGCTGTTCAAGCCGGCTCCATCAGAGTGGGCATTTAACCAAGGCAGTCAAAATAGCACGTGAGCACATGAAACGCACACTGGATTCAATTTAGGTTTAAGAGAAACTACATGATATTTAAGACGAAATATCAGTGTGTTTAACCAGAGCAAGTTTAGAGTCTTTTTTGATATAGCATACATAAAGTGCACAGATCTTAAGGGTACAACTCAATGAATTTCTACCTTCAGTACTGTTATAACTACTACCCAGAGAAAGATATAGAACATTCCAGCACCCCAGTCAGAAGCTCACCCCTCCAAAAGTAATCATTATTCTGATTTCTATTAGCCCACTACTGAATTTCATATTAATGGCATCGAACAGTATTTACTCTCTTGCTCAACACTGTAATACTAAAATCAGATTTTGGTGTCAAGTTATGCTGGCCTCATAGAAGCAGTTGAAACAGTTCTACTCCTTGACAAATTTTATGCAAGGTTGGCATTATTTCTTCCTTGAAAGACTGAGAATTCATCAGAAAAGCCATCTGGGCTAGGTGTTTTTTTGGTGTGTAAAGGTTTTAAATCATGGATTAATTTTCTTTCATACCCATAAGATTATGCACATTTTCACGTCAGTTTTGCAGGAAGTATTTTTCAAGGAATGTGTTCACTTTACCTAAATTGTTAAATTTATTGGACTAAATGTGCGTCAATGCCTATTTAATGCCTATAGAACCTGTAGTAATACACCTCTTTTCATTCCTGATATTGATAATCTGTGTTTTCTCTTTGTACTTGATCAGTCTTACTGGATGTTTATCAATTTTATTATCTCTTCAAAAAACCAATGTTTGGTTTTGCTGATTTTCTTTATCTTACTTTTTTTTTTTTTTTTTTTTTTTTTTTTTTTCTTTTTTTCTTTTTTTTTTTTTTTTTTTTTTCTATTTTGTTCCTTTCTGCTCTTATTTTTACTTTCTTCTGTTTTGGGGGACTTTAATTCATCCTACATTTAGCTTTCTGAGGTTGAAGTTTAGATATTTCAATCTTTCTTCTTTTTTAATACATACATGTAAAGCTATAAATTTACTTCTATGTACTATTTTAAATGCATCCCACACATTTATATATCATTTTCATTATAATTTAGGTGAAAAATGTTTTTAATTTCCTTTGTGATACTTTCTTTAACCCAAGGGTCATTTAGAAGTATGCTGTTTAATTTCCAAACATTTTGGGATTTTCTATTTATCTGTTACTGATTTCTACTTTGCACTGTAGTCAGAAAACACACGTTATTTCAAAACTTGGCAATTTATTTAAACTTGATTTATGGCCCAGTACATAGCTTATTTTTGTAAATGATCTATGTGCACTTTAAAAAAGAGAATTTTCCCGTTGATGAGTGTAATGTTTTACCACTGTCAAGTACAATAAGTTGATTTTAAGTACTGTTTCAATATTCTTTATCTTTATTGATTCTTCTCTGCCTGTGCGCATGTGCATGTACATGTATGTGCGTGTGTTTACTTCCAAAACTTTTACTTTCAAATTTGTGCCCTCAAAGCTTGTCTCAGGACTGTCCCTTATAAAAAGGATATAAATGGCTTTTAATATTTTATCCGATTCAAAAATCTTTGGCTTCCAATTGTACATATAGTCCATTTACGCTTAATGTAATTTCTGATACGGCTGAGTTTAAGTGTATGCTCATTCTATTTGTTTCATCGACGTTCACAGATATACCTCAGTGTGGCCCTTTGTGTTTATCCCCCCTAGGATTGGAGAGCTTCTCCAATCTATGATTTGATGTCTCTCCCTGTTTTTAGAAAACTCTCAGCCAATATTTTTTAAAATATTCCTCTTCTTCTAGGACTCCAAATACACATGGACGTAAAATGTTTTCACCATGTCCCATATGTCTCTTATTCTCTTCTCTGTATTTGTCCTCTCTGTGCTTCAATCTGGGTATTTTCTACTACTTTTTCTTCTGGTCCAATAATCCTTTATCCTTTTTTGTGTGTGTGTCTAAACTGCTATTAAACCAATGTACTGAATTCTTACTTTCCCTTCTTATATTTTTCAGTTGCAGAATTTCCATTTGACTTTTTGAAAGAAGATTTCAAAACTTTGTTGAAATCCTCCTTCTCTTCTTCTATATTACTGAACACTGTTCGTTCCCGACTGATAACCCCAATATCTGAATAACCTGTAAGTCTCTTTCTATCATCTTTTTACTCTTCATTTTGGTCATTTGGTTTCAACTTCTAGCATGCATCTTAATTTTTTATTGGATGCCAACATTCTGTATTAAAAAACTGTAGAGGTTCTGGATCCGGATTATCTTCCTCCTAAGAACGTAACATATTCTTCTGGCAGGTACAGAGAATGCAGTCAGACCACTATAATCCTGTCAGGGGTTGGTTTTATGTTTTGTCAGGGCCACCTTTTTTCAGCTTGCCCTTACTCTGAAGGTGTGGCCTTCTGGGCCTTCAATTAAAGCCTGGGGTATTTACCAGGACCCCTCCATCTTGGCCAGCCTTGAACACTGATCTTTATCTCATCAGTACTATACACGGTTGCTGAAATAGCTACAGAGCTTGTTAGGCTCCCAGCTGTTTCTTTCTGCAGGGATTCTCAGAGTCTTGTTCTGATCGTGTGCACCTCAGAAGTTGGCAAACACCTTAAGGGAAGATTGCATGCCCATTTTTTGCTATATCCCCGTGGTTCCCTTTCTCCTGGGATTTTGTTCTTCAAATCCCAAATACTTTGGAAGCCCCTAACTCCAACCTGTCAGCCCTGTGGGACTGCTGCTTTCTGCAAAGCCTCCATACCCTGGGCTGTGAATCAGGAAGCACCCTCGGGGAAGGAGCCAGAGTGAACAAGTAGCTCCCCTCAGTGTGCTCCTGTCTCTCAGGAATTGTCTCTCAAGTCCTGACTGCATGGGCTGCTCTCTGAACTGTTGTTTCATCTACTTTAATAAGCTCTTATACTTCTTTTTCTTTTATTGACAGGAGGGTTACTCCCAAACCAGCTACTGTGTCAAGAGTCTTCTGAAAGAAGACAGTTTCTTATCCAAGCAGAGTTTAAACTCGGTTCCTAATGAAAGCAGGATGCTGGTGTAGACAACCTCGCCAGCTTCATTCGGCCTACGAGTCCACTCAAAATCAGAGACTGTTAGGACTTACGCAAGGGGGCGAACATTTCCAAGTTTAGCATGAGAAATTGGAAGCGTAACCGAAATAGGTGGAGGAAAAAGACACTTTCTAGTCCAGACTTACTGACTTTGGTTCTGTTTCCTGGGCAAGTCCTCTATTCATTAGTTAAAGCCAAGGATAACTTCTGAGTTATATGACGACTGTTGTTTCCACTAACACTAAGAAGAAGGCAAAGCATCCCAATGAGAATTTCTCCTACTCAAAGAAAATCAGAAACAGATTTAGCTTCCAAGGGCATCTGACTTAAGCTGTCCTGTGGTCTGCCATCTGGGTACAGCCTGGGGGCCTGCTGGTTGCCTGCTGCTGCTTCTTAGATACACTCCACTCACTCCAATCTCCTTCCTGCTCAGTCATCTTGCTGCTTTCCCTCCCATCATCCAGCCAAAATATCTACAGTTCATGAGACCTAAAAGAATCCATCTTCTCTGTGAGAACTTTACTGAGGTTGAGCGCCCCCAACACCAACAATCTTCTCTTACTGTGAAACACCACAGCATTTACAGCCTTTATCTTATAGGTCAGGTGTCTTACATTCTGTTCTATCACTGTTTGGCTGCTATTTCGGATGATCACATTTCTCCCTCCGGCTAGACTGAGTTCCTTTGGTGTGGAAACTGGCATCTTTTATTAGTATCCCTGCAAATGTTAGAACGTTTTCCCTGTTGCAAAGCACTTCTGTACCCATGGTCTCATTTGCTCTTTATTACCAGTTTGTCACTTATTTGTGGCAGATGCAAATCTCATTTTATATGTGAGGAAACTGAAACACAAAGCTGTTAAGTGGCAGTGTCACCACTCATGAATCCTAACTCTAAAGTCAGACCTTTTCCTACCCCATTCTAGAGCATTAAGAGTACCAGCGCACAGTAAGTTTCAGGAAATGGTCCTCTACCAAGGAACTGAAAGGAATAAAAATTCACTGAGAAGCGTGAGCCCCACACATAAACACACACAGCTTAAATATTTACCTCCTTTTCTACCCAAATGGGCCCATCATCGTAGGTTCTTTTATTTTAAATCACACCACACTCAAACTAAAGCATTCCAAAGCTTTACGTTCACACTGAATCACAGCTGAGACGGCAGCATTTGGGATTTATAGGAAACAATGATTGGTAACAAATCCACCTAGAATACCAGCCAACTGCACAAGTGTAGGACAGAGCTCCTGATTTAAGATGTCTCAAATCATCTAGCCCTGTCCACCAAATTACAATTTCTCTCAGAAAGGAAGCAAGCTTTGCCAATAATCATAGTTCAAGTGTCTCAGCCTGAGGATAAGTGAACTTTGCAGGCATAATTATTTCTGCAGGACCTCTTTAACACCTTGAAGTGTTTAGAAGGCATAATTTACAGCCCCTCCAGGACTCAGCATCAGCCACTTTTCGGCAGAGAGGAAGGAGTTTTCAGCTATGCTGGCAATACATGAAAGCACCAGTGTTGCCATCCAGTGAGCAAATGCAAATGCTTATTATGTTTTGAGGGTTTTTTTCCCCCTAAAACAGGGGCCACACTTATCCCTATCTGAAAAGTTTAAATGAGGGACTCTTCCACAGCTCTGCAAATTCCCTAGGCACTCTACACTGTGGATCTACACAACTGAAAGGTAAGTCACATGTGAAATGGTCATAACAATAACCTTCGACAAAGCATTTAGCTTTTCTTCATTAAAC